TAGAGATCTCGTCAATTCTAATCAACATACTATGCATCATTTGCATAATGTCTGCGTCAGTTCTTTTTATTTGTGGGGTTTTGTTCTCAGGTTCCTTCAATCTTGTTAGTATCAGTAGGCCAATAAGCAGGAGTGCCAGTGGAGTGATAGCAACAACCTAGCTCTTGAATAGCTTTTCTTAGCTCTCTTCCTCTAGATGAGGTGATTCTAGAACCCCAATCTGTATGTTTGGCATTGTAGTCACCTCCTATTAGATATCTGTGTCCATGCTTGTACAGGAGATCTTTAAAAATATTTTTCTTAATGCTGCAATTTGGTGGACAGTATACAGCACCAACACTAAAGTCCTGTTTAGTTGATTTAATTTTAATCGAAATAAGCTGAATTTTAGCCGTTTCTATCTTGAATTCTTCATTATGTTCTATATTTTCTTTTATTAGTATTGCACTACCTCTTCTTGGCTGATTGCTGGGATGTACCGCTTTATAGCAATTATAGCCCTCTATTTTAAGGCTCGTATAATATGTCAAATGAGCCTCCGACAGCAAACAAATATCTTTTTTTTCTCGTTTTGAGAAAAACATCCAATTCTTGTTTCTTATTAAGAACACCATTAGCACTCCAAGTTACTATACGTACCTCATTTACGTACATCTTTTCTTAACTTCTTCGGTGTCCCCGTATACATCTCTGTGTATGCATTTTCTATTTTTAATAATCTTTTAGAGATCTCGTCAATTCTAATCAACATACTATGCATCATTTGCATAATGTCTGCGTCAGTTCTTTTTATTTGTGGGGTTTTGTTCTCAGGTTCCTTCATTTTCTTTTTTTGTGGGGATTTGCTTTGAAGCGCTTGTGAATAAAATACTCCCTTTAACACCTTTCTAGGTGCCGTCATTCTGTCTATTTTTGGAGTTCCTTGTTCATTAAATTTAACTTGGTTTTGTTTGGTCTTGTTCTTTTTCAATCTCCTTTTTTGCAATTCTTTTGCAACCAAACAGCCTCGATAGCTAGCAGGGTGTGCCTCGTTGCAGTTCGCACATTTGAGCTGAAAATTATCCTTCTTGTTGCATTCCGCTGTCATATGATTACCAACACATTTTACACATCTAGCCTCTCTTTGGCAAAACTTTTGTGTGTGTCCAATTCTCTGGCATCTCTTGCATTGAGGAATGGATTTGCTGCTTCTAAGAGCTTCAATTTTTACTCTTATGTGCTGTTAGTATTCTATTTTATAGATCCTGGTTATCTCTTCTGAATGGTCAAAAGATAACATAAAGAGCGGAAGTTTTACTGAAATATATTTTCCATTTTCCTTCTTCATTTTGATTTTATTTACAACATCAAGACATTTAAAGCCTTTGCTAATAAGCTCTTTTTTTATATCCTCTGGCTCACACGATGGATGGAGATTTCTAGCCATAACTTTAACTGGCCTCGTTAGTTTATTCTCATACGTGTGCCACTCCAGTCTAGCCTTATTTATAGCTTTTGTTAGTAATCTGTATTCATTTTCATTTTCCACATTTATTTTGAATTGGTCGTTATTCATCATATTGACCCTAACGTTTATTCTCTCTTCTTCTAATATCTTAACTATGTGGGAGTAGTTCTTAATGTTGCTCAATATAGCCGAAGGAGGCTTGTGCTTTTTTGGATTTTCAGCCTTCATTTTAGGGCTGGTTTCATTATTTTTTTTAAATGTCGTCTCTGAATTTATTTCAGGAGACTTTTCCATTTTTCGCTTCTTTGCATTATTCTGTTTTAGGATCCAGTCAGTTTCTCTTGCCAGTTCCTCCTCGTCGGTTTCATATACGATAACTTCCGCATTTTTGTTTTTCTTTTCTGTTGATGCAGATTTTATTTGATTTTTTAAATCTACATTTTCTGTCTGTTTTTTTAATTTTTAGCCAAAACGAGAAATTAAAAAAAAATTCTAAATTGATACCTATCCTGATAAAATGTTTAGTTAATGTCACCTTCCGTACATTCAAAAAAACTGAGAATGTGGCTACACATTCCTTCAATTTTTGAGAAGTAGTTTCATAGGTTTCCCAAAGTTTCCGATCCTTGCGACTACCTCGTACATAAAGCTCTCATTTGTTTGATTAAGAAAAGCAAGTACAAAAATCTAAATTTTCTTATATTGTATAATATATATGTATGAGTCGGTACCTTAAGGAGGCGTTGTGAACGGTTTTAAGATCTTTATGCAGTTGCTAGTTGTGCTGAGATATGTATATATGTAATGCATTCTGCATGATTATATTTTTAAAAAGTTTGGTTTGTCTAGACTAGCGAATTTGTAGACCTAATACCTTGGATATACAAGATAGTAACGAGTATGGCATAAAGTGATGAAGTTAATATCTTGTGCCAGATATAGCAACAGCGATATGTTCAGTTGTTCCGTCCGAATGGGTGAATTTGTAAAAATTACAATGTAAAATTTTTCTTTTGAACGTATAGTGACAAACTGTAACTTTAACTTTCCCAACATTTTACATTCTTTTCTTCGATGTCATCAATTTTAATTCTTTTCAAGATCAAATCTAGCTAGTAGAAGGCAAATGGAAGCAAATGCTAAGAAGAAGCTCCTAGACCCCTTTTTTTCATCGTAGCATTTCAATAAAAAAAATTTATCACATACTTTATCTTCATTTTTCAATCCAGTAGTAAAAAAAAATGTTGGCGTCGAAAGTTATTCAGATCGTCTGCTCAGACATTAACTCTTCCCTGCGAAGGGGAAAAGTATTTCTGCCGGAAATTTGATATGCTAGCTTTGGTGCCAAAGTAAAGCAAGAGGGTTTTCCGTATTGGAACACACAACGCCGTCAGCGGTTACCGAGTTCACAAAAATTACATTCAATGAAATAAAACCAAAATATTTGCGAATACATTTTAATTTAAGAATTTTTGTTTTTCAATTTGTCAAGTTTATCTTTATCTTCAAAGATGTAGTAGGTTAAAAGTATATTCACTTATGTATATAAGCTAAATTAGTGATATTTTTATAGTATCTTTCTAAAATTACATTACGAAGTTTAGAATTTAATAAAAAACAAAGTTTAAAATTTATTTAAAAATTTTATTTCGTTTTTATTTGCAGAACACTCGCATCAAATTAGAAGATGAGAAGGAAAAGCCAAAAAAAGGTGTCGTTAATCAAAGTGCCCCAGTTACGAAAAACGTTTCGGATGAAATCAATATCAAAAAGAGTGAATCAATTACAATTCAAAGTCAAACGGTAAGAAAAATTTAAAACAATCTATTTACCTGTACTCGCATATATGTACATATGTATGTATATACAATATGACTATGAATATGACATTCGGTCACTATAAAACTTTGGCAAATTATTCAGAACAATCCTACGCTGGTTAATTTGAGAGGCCGGTGAATTCGAAATTTACAAAACTTCTTTCGACCTTTTTAAGACCTGGACATCCGCCCGCTCATTATTATTACATCCATTATCGAGGATCACAAATTTTCCTAATGCAAATATGGTCTTTCTGGTTCCTTATACTATCTGAGAATGTTCAAATTTATTTTGGGCGAAAATAGTATACCGTTTATTACTAAGCTTGTGTTCTCTACAAAAGTTACCATTTTTATTTAACACACCAAGTTTATTTGTTCCTATGGCTGCATATTTCTCTTTACTGATGTCTCATAAATTTTAGGAAAAATTGCCGAAATTTTAACAAACCTACATAAGTTTTTTTCTTATAACTTCCGTTCAAGTAAACAATTTTTGGAAAAAAAAGTTATTTGTTTTTTCATATTTATTCGCAAATGCAAGCATTCGAACTTTCGGAAAATATTAATTTTTCTTATTTTTTATCATCAAAAAAGATTTATGAAACAATTTATAACATTAAAATTTTTACTTAATTATTAATTTTTACAAAAACGTGTTCTTTAAGAGCACTACCAATATTCTATGTAAAATTTTCTGTTTTAGTTCATTTTTACTTGAGTCTATCAAAAAATTTTGTAGGAATGCAAACTAGACAAAAATTAACACCATAGACCACGGTTCACTTGACAGAATTAAAAGTTGTTAATAAGGAAATTTTTTTTATCAATAAATACACTACTAACGTGAGATTAGCGCAAACGTGCGCACTGTTGTTCCCCAGCATTGTAGCTATAACTTCGTTTAGTTAAATTGATATTTATGTTCTATTGTTTTATTATTATTATTATATTATTTTAATAATACAAAAAATTCTTATATGTATATATGAAGAATCAGGATCCTCCTAAAAGAACTATAGGTCTTTCACGAGACTATAAGTACTTCACGAGATTAAATTTTAACTCAATTAGGTGGTATCTTAGTAAAACATAAGTTTTGTCTAGTGAGCGTGTTTTTTTGCCAGAGATTATTATTTGATTTTTGACAGTCGTAATACTTTAGCATATGCTTTGATGTTGTAAAAAAATCCCAGTCATTTTTTAATTCAGTTATTTTGAAATTAGCCTTTTTGCCTTACTTTTTATAAAAATTGAAATTGTGAGTAATTTTATAATTTTCGCTTCGTTTCGTTTAATTTTAAATGAAATATACTTCTAGGTAAATCCTTCATCTTTTCCGAAACTATTTTATTTTATTTTTGCTTGCATAATTTAAAATGTCTTTTGAAAACCCTTTTATTTTTATTTCTTATAAAAGCAACAAACTTTTAATTTATTTTGACATTACTATTAATGAGATTTTATAAAAACACGGCAACAATTATTTTATAAAGTATAAAAAACATGGCCATTAATTTATAATGAAAATTGCAAAAACACACATTGAAATTATGTATAAAAAAATAAAAACATTGAGAACGATGAGTTTGCGCTTAGTTTGAAACAAGTTGTTGTGTTGCGTTTGTTAACGTCGCTCGCAACATGACAAGAAAAATGAAGTTCAAATCAAATTTAGAAATACATGTAGATTATGTATGTAATGTAGTTTAGTTGTTTTGTAAGCGGTAAGGTATAAAGTATAATGTGCGAGTAGATTTGTAAAATTTTTTGTGAGAAATGTGTCAATTTTGAAGAATTTCAAGAATAAAATACATACATACATAATTTAAAAATGGAAAATATTTAATATTTTTATAATTCATTTTAATTCTTTAAATAAAATAGAAATGTTTGAGCAATTTTAACAAAGAGTTTTTGGAAAATTTGAAAATGCTATTGATGCTCATTTTTTAATTAATTTATGATAATATGTGTTTGTGTTCGGAGTACTTTAATTGAAGATACAAAAAAAGTATCGCAGTTGCTCTCCTGCAGCTAGTGCCGCTAGGATTAATTTGATGACGTCTTCATTTAAATACTCGAAAAATAGAAAAAGAAATTTAAATTCATAAAATTGTTTTTGTTACAAATTATAATTTTATTTATTGTGTTGAAATATTATAATTACTTGAAAATAAAAATGATTTCTATTGTAGTTGTACTCAATCCATATTCCGTACTAAATACATAATGAGTTCATTCATTTAAAATAGTGATTACATACACATCTAAATTCCATTAAAGTCTATGCATAATATACAAATTTTTTTTAAGTTTTATTAAGAAAATCTATAAATAAAAAATAACTACATAAACCTACCTAAAAAAATATTTTTATATACATATGTATAACCGGTGGTATAATTTACTTGTGCCCCATGTATGTTCACTCGTATGTTTATGTGTATACCTAATACAAATAAGTGCTAAATAGAAAATTTTTATAATGTACAAATAAATAAATTTTCAAATTTATAAAAAAAACATTGATTTTCACATATTTTTATGAATAGACATACACAAAAAAAAACTTATAGAGTAATTTCTAATAACTTTATTCTAAAATAAAAGTGCAATAGCGAGTTTTTTAAATAGAAAAATGACAACTAGAAAGAAAAAGCGAAATGAAAGCGGTGGATTCTTAAAAAAAGTATCATCACTATTTAATTTAGACACGGTAATTATTTTAAATTTTATTTTGTAATTGCTAAGGCAGGTAACATACGTACTTGTCTACATAGTCTTAATAATATTCCGTCCATATCTGATTTATAATACCTACCCCTGTGAAACTAATTAAATTTTATAAATTTAATTATTTATTATAATAGCTACATACAGTACATAATGTACAATATTTATTTTGTTCCCAAGTAGCTTAGGTAAGCATGTATATACGTTTGTTTGTAGATTTACTTACACATGTATTTCAGTGGGGGTAGTACTCGCATACATATGTATGTTTGCACCTACATTTAATGCTTATTATGTAAAAGTAGTTTATAAATTATTCATATGTATGTTTTTAAATTTCACCTGTGCATATTAACTTTTAAGTCTAATCATTCATTTTTTTAATGCAATGGTAGATACATATTTCAATAAGTTGCCAAAAAATTTGACTGCACGTGCATTTTTCCTACAAAGAATACTTATCAAATATTTCTAAAATGAAAGATCATATTATTAAGTATTTTGTAATTTTAAAATTGCATATCATATACGTTCTTGCCTATCTAATTTTTTTTTCGTTTTCAATATGAATGGCCCTTTTAAATAAAAATTAAATAGTCTAGGCTTTGATAATTTTTTTTTTGTTTTTAATAAGTTCTTAAAAGTTTGTAAAAAGAAAATATGTATTTGATTAACATTACGTTATTAATGTTTTGCATAACTCTTTATCTGAAACCTCATTCACCCGCTATAAAGGCAAATTACCAATTTCCTTTTATATCATCATAAATTCCTTTCGTATATGTAGATTAAGAATTAGCAATGGGAACACAATTTTTTGGAGTGTCAAAATCAGTATTTTGATTCAATTGTCAAATGTATATTTATGTTTTCTAAAAAAGGATATTTTTTAACAATTGAGTGTTGCAATTTTGAGTTTTTTTTGAAAAGTGTAAAAAAATTTGTTTTAGCAAATATAAATTTTTTTCGTTTCATGGTAGCTGTTTTGGAAAAGCTGAAATTCAAACAAAAAAAAATTGAAAACTTCAAAATTTAAAACAACCACTTTCTTTAAATTGCTTGTTACGTGTGAGTATTTTTTTGGTAGACTATTCAGGGTTAATTTTACTACTAACGTAATTTATAATTACTCTGTTACGAATATTTGTAGTAGAATTTTAGTAATTCGGAATTGAGAATATGAACTTCGTAAACATACATATGAATTTCGGAGCTATGAACGAAATTCATGATAGGGCTGGTTAACCGCAAATTTTCGGTTAAGGTGAAGTTTGTAATTATTCTATACACTCATTCCTCGCTTTTTAATATGTTCCGGAAATGTCCGTAAATCGAATCTTTTTACTTACATTACGTTACAACCGCATGCTTTGTTATATATTTACATATTTGTTATATATATTAGAATTAAAATATATTTGTTATTTTAAGAATTAAAATTACTTTTAATTAATTTGCTCTGATCTTTGTTTCACGTAAAACATTACAGTACATACACATACATAATCACAATGGTTTTTAACATATAAAATATTTAACATATACATAGCAATGATATTTAACATATATTTATGTATATTTAAACCAAAAATTCCTAGAAATGTTTTTTATAAGAATTGTAATTTTTTAGAGTACTTTTTTTTTTGCATTTTACCGAATTTTTTTCCGTAAAAAGAGAATTTGGTTTAATTTTTGAATTCCGTATAAGGAGTTTCTGTTTAGCGAGGGATGAGTGTTTTATGTATGTATATATGTGTCCACCTAACAAAACCCCTTAAGAATTACATTCATTTATTGATATTATTTCTTAGACTGTATTTCTGAAAAATTTTTTAATAAAGTATACCCTAGCAGGTGGGATAAAATTTACAAAAATTGTGTATGTATCTATTTTTACTTGTAATTCACTCTTAAACTTTTATTTGGAGTAATCTTAGCCAGCGAAATTAAAAACTGAAATGGAATACCCAAGGCAAAGACAATAGTAAACAAGATGTAAACTATACTATCCTACAAGTTTTTATACATTGCCATTCTGGATAGTGTTCCGAATACATTTGAATAAGACATCGTCGGAAAGATTTTTTTGACCCATGATTTTTTAGTTTTACTTTTTTTTGTACAAAGAATAAAAAATTCTCGTCTTAACATATCATGCACATTTGAAAAATAACAGAATACTTCTTAATATAACTATAGGAAGATTTATTGCATCATACTTTCTTTATGTTTTTAACCACGAAAGTACAGGCTTGGACCCTAAGGGAAAGTGACAGTTCACAGCTGACAAATTAAAACAGGGTCCTTTTTATCATTTTAAATCTCTCATAAGATCAACTTTTTTCAAATAGCTTTAATTACGAGCGTTAACATTTCTATAATTTTGTGTTATAAAGATTCCAAAAGAAACAAAAATTGTGCAAATTTTTTGTTTTTTGAAATATTGTTTTGAAATATAATTGAAGATTTTTGTATATTTTTTCAAAGAGTTGAGAAAATGTACATTTGAGAATAACAAGTTCGCTTATTATGTGTGACACGTCTCGAACTTTAGGTCTTATATAAACACATAAACATACTTATATCTATATGTTTTTCATAGTAAGTTGTACTATAGAATTAATATTCTTCGAAATTCATAAAAATGTTTGCATATGCACGTATACTTTTTATATTAAAAGTACATAAGTACTCGTATATACTTCTTTTAGGGATGTATGTGATTTTAGTTATATTAGGAGATATTTTCATGTTGTTAATAAGCTTAATTGACTGATTTGCCTAAACTTCCGCATCAGGGATTTTTAAAACTAATAATTAAGAGTTTCTTTATAATATTTTTATTTTCTTCGTTTTTATAACACGGAATAACATGGAACCACCATTTTTTATAATAGATATAAAACTAATAAAATTTTTATAACTTTATTTTATGTCGTGTATTCTAGACTAAAAATATAGCTATGTTGCTCAGAAAAGTGAAAATTTCATTTTAATACAAAAACTGTTAGGTTTTAGTCAATATTAGAGAATTTAAGTCAAGTTTTTATCTAATTATTTTTTAAATTCAATTTATTCCTATTTAACTACTTCAGATTAGGTATGTGATTTCCTGATTAATGGCGCAGTGGTTATTGCACTGGTCCTTCTACTGAAGGGTCTCGGGTTCCGTCAGGTCACTATAAAAATTATGTTAAATATTATATAGCTATAATAAATATTATATCCATACAAAAATAAAAAATTAATATTAACCTAATTACTTAAAATCTGATGATTACAAATTTAAATTCTAACGTAAAAAATTTATAAATCTGAAAAAATTTGTATTAACTTTTTTTTATGTTGTATTCTAGACTAAAAAATATGGCACCAAATTTTTTTTTTATGCAGTGTATTATCGTGTTTTACTCTCAGATATGTTGCCTGACATAGTGGTTCAAAAAATATTGAGAAAAATACGAAAATATATTTATTCAAAATTATAGTTAATATTTCGATTTGAAATTTGAGTTTTTGATATGTTACTCATATCAGGCCTCCAAGCTGAAATTATTTTCGGAAATTTTGAAACGGAAAGAAACACAAAAACAATTTTTAATGTTTTACGTATTCGAATTATGCCGATTAAAATATTTTTTTTTGTGAAATTTTTGAATATTGTTTATAATTTTAAAAGCCATTTAGATTATTAATAATTATTTTTTTTGCCTTTTTCTTCAATTTGCTTTTAAATTCTATTTCTTATTCAAAAATCTTACTCTATATATTTCAGTATTATATTTAAAATTTAAGTATTTAAAATACTTAAATTTAAAATACTAAATTTAAAATTAAAGTATTAAATTTAAAAAAATGCGTAGAATCAGTAGAGCCAAAAATATTGATCAATTTCCTTTACACAAATAAATTCCGACACCGCTTCCATTTAAACTCAATATAAATTTGAAATTTATTTTTGATTTGCTCTTTGAGTTTGATGGCCTGATAGATATATATGGCATTAGTTCAGGCTTTGATATTTTTGTTATATCAAGTGGTATACCCATACGAAATATGTATACATAAATATTTAGTATTTTATAAAAGCAAATAAGCGTGAGACATATCATGGATAATTATAGAAAACTTACATATTTACAAACGTATGTATTATCTCAAAGAAATGTATAGCAATATACATTTTTTCAATTTGAAAAAAACAAAAAAAACCAACTCAGTAAGTATTTACTTAAATTTTGTCTGGTATTTTTTTTTTTCTGTAGGGCAGTATTTATTAAAAACTTAAAAAATTTAACAGCTTAGAAGGTCTTTTTGCAATCAAGTTTTTTAACTTGACAAGTTTTTTAACAGAAATCTATAAAAATATTTGCACTAATAAAATATATGAGGATTGAATCAAAAATTTAAAAGAAAAAATTGATTTTATACTTGTATCATCATTTGTTATCAATTTGGCCTTTCACGTATGAATAAGAGTACAATTTTATTATACATATATATATACATATAATTTATAATAACGGATCAGTAAAAAGCAGACTACGCACACAACACTAATATATCAAATTGGAACCTCTGGCCAGCAAATCTCAATGTGATTGGAGTGAATTTGGAACAAATAATTGTATTTTCGCTATTTGATTCCTAAAAAAGTATAATGTGGAACATCCACAAGTAATTTTTTTTCTAAAAAGCACTAAAGTTGAAAATCGGATAATTTTTTCAGGAGGAAAAAAAACCTAGCCGAAAATTATTTTCTGCTATAAATTTTATGCAAAAGCTAAAAAGCTTGGGTGGCAAAAGCGGTACCACAGAAAAATCTAGCCGTTTCACGTTTTAATTTTATTATCGACCGCATTTTATCGACAGGGAGGTTATGTGATGGCACCAAATGTCGAGTTTTTGGTCGGAATGCAGTTCTCTATCGTAGGGAAGCGTAAACAAACTATTTGTAGAGAGATATTATAACTATTTGCAGGGTTGTCTGTCTGAGTGTCACTCGTGTGTCTCGAGTTCGGATTAAACGATTTTGATGAAAATTTATATGCAACTTAGTTTCTACTATGGCCTCGTCAATTGGATTTTATGCGGGCCGATTTTACATTTTTGCTCATATTAGGGGAAATAATTAACCTACCTTGAAATTTTTTGAAAATGGCTGATTTGAATTTTTTGAATATGGAAAAATCATTTTATAAAAATTTTCAATTTTTTGTTAAAAATTTTATTTAAATTTTTTTTTTCGTCTGAACAACTGAATTGGTTGCGTTACTTAAAATTTTTTCTAAATAGTTACGGAAACTTGTGTACTTATGACTACATTTATTTTTCTTATAACTTATGTACCACTTCTTTGATTTAAGGTAATAAAATTCTCGCTTCCAGACCCGTTTTTGGATACAATCAAAATTTAAGAAGAAATTGCAAACGTTAAATAATATGTTTAAATTTTTAAAACAGAAATATTTAACGTTTGTAAAATAATCATCAAATTTTAAATATATTTTTAAAAATTTGTGACTATTTAACGTCTGCAGTAATAGATTTAAGTTCAATGTATATCTAATATTTAAACGCGTTTTCAAATGTGAATATATACAAGAAAACAAAACTTAAAGAAAAATAGTAATCTAATACACAAAATCTAAACAGCTGTGTATATAAACTTGTTTAGAAATGCTTCATTTTAAAATTAATTATGAATTATCATGAAGTTCGTTAATTTCATTTACAATATTAAAATAAAAGCTAATTGATAATTAAAAATTTAAAATATCCCACCACCAAACGTAAGTTAAATAAACAAAGTCTACAGAGAGGCGCACTTTAAAAGATGAGTTTATGACATGTAAAACATTCTTTTTTTTCATAGTTACCCGTGCGAGTTGCTATCAGAATAATGGTACTTTAATTAAACATCATATTAAAAATACATAACATTTATAAATCTTAAAATAAATTTATACCATATACGTACATATTAATCCAGTATGATTTGATGTTTCCATCCGCATCCACTGTTACAGTTCCCTATTACAGATGAATTTAGTCGACCTTGCTGTTTTAATTAACCAGATTTTTTTGCATATGTATATTATTAATTTTTTTTCACATACATACATAATATGTATGTATCCATTTTTTTCAATTTGCCATTTTCTATTTAAAAATTAAATGTTTAAGTCAACTTTTATATTTAATCAACTTTATACTGTGGATAACAATGTATGCATATTAGGGAAGTGTTGTAATATTGAATAGTGGATATGAGGTATGCACACACATATTTATATTTTCACGACGTATGTAACACCATACGTCCCTCCGTCTGTTGTTAAAGCGCTCATTTGGGAACGCAGAGATCTAAAGACAACCAACTATTTTTTGCGAACCAGAATTTAGGAACATCATCTTTAAACAAAACGCTTTCGTTTAATTTAAATTAGAATTTTAAAATAGTTTTTAATTTTAAATTTGAATATCATAATAATTTGTTTTCCATACTCTTTTTAGGTGAATGGTGAAGAGAATTGGGAATTCGATGATATTACACTCGAACGTGGCAATGCGGGCTTGGGTTTTTCAATTGCTGGCGGTACGGACAATCCACATGTGGGAACTGATACGTCAATATATATTACAAAGCTAATACCGGGTGGTGCCGCTGCTAATGATGGTCGATTGCTAGTAAATGATATTATTGTTTCTGTTAATGAAGTATCTGTCATTGACGTACCACATGCAAGTGCTGTGGAAGCGTTGAAAAAAGCTGGCAATATTGTTAAACTACATGTTAAGAGAAAAGGAGGTCCATATAAAGTAGCGCCAGGTCAAAAAATTCTGGAAATCGATTTAGTTAAAGGGGTAAAAGGATTAGGCTTTTCAATAGCTGGCGGTATAGGAAACCAACATATTCCTGGCGATAATGGAATTTACGTTACAAAAATTATGGAAGGTGGGGCCGCACATGTTGATGGTAGACTTAGTATTGGCGATAAATTAATCGCGGTACGAAATAATTCGGTATGTTAATTTCGTAATTTGTCTATTATTTGATAAAAATTTTAACTGCATTTATTTTGTTTATTATACTAAAAATGGTACTATTTTGTATATAACTCTTATTTAGAATGAAAAAAATCTCGAAAATGTAACACATGAACAAGCTGTCGCAACACTAAAATCTATAACTGATAAAGTAACTTTAGTTATTGGGAAAAGTCAGCATTTAACTTCTTTGAATCAAGTTAATTCTCAATCAACTGGTGCTGTAAATAAAATTGAGCAAAGTGTAGTTGATTCTGGGCAGTTAGGACAAACAGCAACATCAAGATCACATTCACCAATTCCTCCTCGTAATTTATAAAATAATTTTACTATATCGTAGTAAAATTTATAAAACGATTTTTCTTTGTGCTTGTGCTTACAGAACCTTCATCTAGATATGCTTCATCAAACATTCTTGCTGCTGTTCCCCCGGGAACTCCTCGCGCCGTCAGTACAGAAGATATATCAAGGTTAATAACAGGAAGTTTATTTCAAACTTTTATAAAAACCATACTTTTTTAATTACAGGGAGCCTAGGTCAATTACTATTCAAAAAGGAAATCAAAATTTGGGATTCAATATTGTAGGAGGGGAAGATAATTATGGTATTTACGTATCATTTATATTACCTGGCGGACCAGCTGATCAAGGAGGTGAATTAAAAAGAGGAGATCAATTACTTAGCGTTAACAATATCGATATAAAAACTGCTACCCACGAAGAGGCAGCACAAGCACTAAAAGTAAAAACTATAATTAATAATATATAATAAACTATAAACTTGAAATATCATAAACTATATTGAAATGACTCTACCTTTTGTTTCATATTTTTATAAAGAATTCTGGTGGTGTTGTTAATCTAGTCGCTCAATATCGACCTGAAGATTATAATCAATTCGAGGCTCACGTAAAAGAATTAAAACAAGCTTCAGCAATAACAAATTCCGGAACACTATTGCGTACATCACAAAAACGTTCATTATATGTTCGAGCGTTATTTGACTATGATCCAAATCGTGACGATGGTTTACCATCAAGAGGACTCCCGTTTAAGCATGGCGATATATTACATGTAACGAACGCATCTGACGATGAATGGTGGCAAGCTCGTCGCGTTTTAGGTGACACTGAAGATGAAATAATTGGTATTGTACCATCAAAAAGGCGTTGGGAGCGCAAAATGAGAGCAAGAGATCGTAGTGTTAAATTCCAAGGGCATGTTGCTAATAATAATATGGATAAGGTAAAAAAATTTAAAGCACCCTTTACATACAAGAATGATGTTTTAGTATTAATTTATTTAATTCTTATTAAAAATAAAAATACCAATCTAATAGTCAGTCTATGTTAGTAGGAACAAATGATCAAATGCTAATTAAATTTGAAAAACTGTTTAAAAATTCGAATTCATACTTTTTGAAAATCGTAAATAGAAATTAGTTGTCTTTAATAGTAATTTTAATTTGAAAAAATATGCATATATATATATAATAAAAGAGTGTTCAAAAATACCAAATTAAATTTCTATGAATGTGTAATTAAGTACTTTGTTAGCATTTGAATTTCAGATTATTCCACCTAAAATATACCACCTAAAAAAATTTATTGGTTTCTTTTATAGAAAAAAATCACTTTTTCTATAAATTTTCTTTTGTAGAAAAAATATTTTTTATAACCCAGTTAAAAGACTTTCTTCACAAATGTATTATACAATTATAGAACTCATTATTGAATACATCATATTTGTTTAACAATAATTAATGTCTTAACGATAATAAATAAAATGATTTTATTTATTATCGTAAGAGAATTATGTTTCGTTTATTTATTATCGTTTAGAATTAAATACTAAAAGATCAGATTGTCCATTAGTATAAAGGAATCACTATTTCCTTTTCCATTGAAAAAGATCAATGATTTGGCAAACTCAAGAGCATTAAGCATTCAAGAACATTACATAAAACTCAAGAACATTAAGCATTCCCATAAAAGAACTTTAATTTGAAAGATAGTAATATTTTCATTACATATTGTATACCATAAACTGTATTATATAATTTAACACTTAAGATTTTATTGTTCCAAAATAGAATTTACAATTATTTTACATTTATAAAGAAATTACATAGTGGTCGGTTTTTATCTAACATCTATAATATAATATACATTTTGATTTTTTTTGACGAATGTTACAGACTAAATTAGTATATGTAAGAGGAAAAGAATAGAAAACCTATTTTGAGTTTATTTTACTACTTATATCTATAGAGTTTATTTTTCAAACTACAGAGTTTATTATACTAACTACAGAGCTTATTTTACAAAGGCATTCTGAGAAACAAATGGCTCATGTTATTAAATTCTCAGAACTTTTTTTTTGTAAGAAGCTTAAACAAATTTTTGAACTAGTTTGTTTTTATTAGACCTAATTTGAAATTTATGTTTTAATTTTTATTAGTCTTCGTTGCTTTAAACAGGACAAGCATATAACTCTCAATCGGAAAAAGTTAAAAAATCGGTTGAAAATTGCCAAACATCCAGTGTGAGTCAATACAAGGGCTATAAAAATTTTTGTTTGATCACGTTTTTATAACGACACCGGAAATACATCATGTGGTTTCTTTACTGATGCTCACATATCATGTGTACCGCATATATTACCTTATGTTGTTTCGTTGAAAAGTTTTTTATTGCAAATTTAAAGTCCTGCCACAAGATACTTGTGAAAACAAAATTTTTCGGAGGGAATTTAAATTTCTCCTTATCGTTTTATTATATAACATAACTTTTGTATATTATATAATATATGTATGTAATTAATAAAATTTTTTCTTTTCTATTTTTTAGCAATCAACGCTTGATCGTAAAAAGAAAAATTTCACTTTTTCTAGAAAATTTCCCTTTATGAAAAGCAGAGATGATAAAAATGAGGATGGAAGTGATCAAGAACGTTAGTATTCATATAATATATTATTGAAAAATAATTAAAAAATTACCATAGGTATTTTATTTATGAAATATACATACATACATATTTTTTAATGATTTTGGTTAATTTTTTCATTGTTTTGTTTTCTATTTTTTTATTATTCTTTTGTTTATAATTACCTTTCCTTTTTTTTTGTTAGTATTGTCTAATTTGTGTCGTTTTGTTTTATGTTTTCTTTTCCATATTTTATTTTTATGTTTCACGGATGACTCATCAATCAAAAATCAATGTCAATTTAATGTTAAAATTATTCATTAAAACAAATAATTGGTTGTCTTATTATGAAACAAAATGTTTTATGATGAAACACAAAAAAATGTTTAAAAAACTTACGAAAATAAAAAACAAATGTTAGCGAATGTTAATGGAGCTGTAATAAATTCTGATAGTCAAAATAATTTAGAAGCGGTTGACCAGCAAAGTAAGTTTTATAAATTTAAGAAATTAGAAATAAGTAACATAAGAATTATAGATTTATAGGAAATGGGCATTGTAGCTTGCTTACTAAGTTTCTTTTGTGACAACTTTAAAATTTGGGAATACGGAAATTAAACTTTTCTATTGCATTACTAATTTTGAGCAGATAGTTAGTCAGTGATGCTTTTTTTTTTCTAATCACAATTCTTGTCAAAAAAAAATTTCTAATTAAAGAATTATTTTTTTTTTTTGAAAATATTATTTTCAAAAGTATAATATAAAATTAAAGTAAAATGATTGAATTCTATCTTTTGTGATAGAGGCACATATAAAATTTAAAGAAAGAAAAGTTAAACATGAAATAACAATCACATGCACAAATGCACATAGTGACAGAAGTCTACATACATAATTTAAAGTTAAAATGAATGCAAAATATTCTTTTATTGATAAATTACGATATATTTCAAATATTGTAGCACAAACTTTTCTGAGCAATAATTAATAATAATATGTACATATATGAGTATACATAGTAACAACAAAAATCTTTACTAATATAATTTCAACAAAAACACTTGTTATATGTATTGTTTTTTGAATATATCTGTTCTCCAATGGAAATTGATCAAAGGATCAACCCTAAAATAATATGCCACCTTATGCAAAACAACATGTATAGTAGAATTTTGTCTACTATGTCATGAAATTTGAATTATAAATACAATATGTTTTTTATTATCATTTATCAACGAAACATTATTTCGCGTTACAATTTTTTAAAACACATTATAACAATATGCAGTTATTAAATTTCTTAATGTGTATGTAGACTTTAATTGCCATTTATGTGCGCCATATGTAAGTAAGATATATATGTAATTTGAAATAATTATTCAACTTGGAGCCATCAGAGAAAAAATATCAATTAATTTAAGAATGAACCAAGCGTAATTTGCTTTGCAGTCTTTGTTAAATGAATGTTTTTTTATACATACGAGTATACATATAAATATTTTCATTGATTACCATATATTAGGTTTTAGTTACTGGTGTAGTGTATTTATTAAACGTATTAGTTGAAATTGGAAGTGTAGAAATGTAAGATTTAAACTTGAACGTAATATTTTATTTTGTATATCATTTTGATTTTACATATTGGTTTCTAATGGAATATTCTCATATTTTTCTTTTTATTCCTTTTCTTCTGTTTTCCGATGTCTTTCATTGAACTCATGACTTTTTGATTAATTAAATCAACGTTTTTTGATTACGTATATATGAAAATTGTTCCCTAAATAGATGAATCATAAACGAAAAAAACGAAGTGTAAGTTAATTTTGAGATCGAGTTAGGTGAGCAAAAGCATATATGTATTTGTTCAAATAAAATATACAAAATAACTTGTTGTCGTAATAGCTTGCTGTTTTTAAGTAGGTCTTTTCATGGTAGAGTATTTTAATTAAAATTAACCTGTTAAATCTTGAGTTACGCCGAGAAGAATTTTTTCATGACACTTTGATTTTAAAACAGAACTAAAAACATTTTTTAAAGTCCTATTTTTGTTTTGAGAACCTAATTGATTACAGTTCCTTTAATTTGTAAAAAAAATACTTTATCCTATCAATTTTTGTTTTATTCAGTACCACACGCTTTGCCAAAAATATGATAATTAGGCCGTTTCTAAACCTATCGCACTTCGCACTAAAATACTAGTTAATCGCACTACATTTTTTTTCCTAAAACTCCGAATGCATTATGTGAAGGGTTTCCGGAGCACATCGCACTTCACACTAAAATATCTCTTAAAAATTTAGAGATTTAAAACCAATACTAGCTTGCTGCATTTCGCACAAGTAAAAAAATTTAAATTGAGAAAAACTTAAATAAAAGAAGAATAAGAAATAACATTTCATTAAAATCATTTTCATTTGTTTTTTATTTTTTTATTTTATTTACAAACTAGGAACATAAACAGCTTAGGAACATAATATATAAGCCTGTGTATGTTTTTATCAAGCAAAGTACTTTTTTGCGCTTTCGCAATAAATTCAACATAAAAATTTTCGTAATAAAAATATATGTGTCAGAGTAATAATTTTTTAAAATAAGTACCTTAAACTAAGTTTTCTAAAAATACCAATTGAAAAAAAAATAAATAAAATCTAGCGCATTTATAATCTTCTCATAATTAGAAGAAAATTTTTTAAATAAATATTTAAAAAAATATATATTTTATCAAAGCTTCGGAAATTTTCGCTAATTAAAACGTGTACTGAAAGTTTTAACTTAAATCTTAGTTTTTACTTCAGCGAACATACAACATTTTTCTGGGCAGAAAATGTCAATGCATTATCATGGCTTCTTAAGCAATTAAATCTATTTTTTTACATAATGTGAGCAAATGTTTTATTACTTAGTTCGATTAGAATTCTTGTTCTTACTATCTTCGGCTAGAAAGAGAACTGAGGTCTTACAATGTAATTCGATTTTCGCGAAACGATTTTCGTATTTGTAGAAATAGAAAATTTATACCATACAAATTAACTAAAGCTACCTTACCAATTCTCTAAATGAAAACCCTTTCACGAAAATCGAATTAGTAGTAAGACCCCTGGTCTCACAATAACAAAAACTATAAAAATCAAAATTTTTGAATTGAACTCTAGAAAATCTACTCGGAAAATTAAAATCAATAAAATTAAAAGTGCGTTAGGGGGTCAGCACTATAATTAGTTTCAGATTGATTTAATTTTTTCAACCGATAATTAAAATAAAGAAATAAATGTTATTGTACTTTTATTCAATCACGAAAGTCCACAAAATGAATGGAATCGAAAAAAAAACTTCTAAAATTTCTACAAGAAAATAACAAACGTTCATAAACCTCCACTGGATGACAATTGATTCTCAGAATATTGCCATTGTACGAAAAATATATATGTTTTCAACATTCCATACGTCTAAATTAAAAAGTTGTATTATTACCACCAGTTTTTAAACAAATTTCAAATTAAAAAAATGGCTTTTGCAATTTTACATTTAATATTTTTTTTGTTGTCAGTGAATCTATTTGTAGTAATGTCGACCCAATGAAATTTTTTTTAGGTTCCTTTAAAGAATTTTATAGAAAAGTGTCTTGTCCCACACCGAATTTTTTAAAGGATGTTCTGAAAAAATCATGTGTTTCTCAAAGATGCAGTGACTTTACCCAGCAACGCAATAACTTTGTGTTGATAATAGTGTGTATAATTTTTAATAGGAGTTCTTGAAATGAACGTTATCTGCGTTTAGACATTGACCAAAGACACTTAATGCATAACTTTGGTCAAAAAATTCAAACGATAATTACGAATTTTTATTTTTGTAGTTTAATTTCTTTGTGTTTTCGATATTGTAATTGTAACTAATTTTTATATAAGCATTAAAATAATGCGTATATGGTGAAAACATTATTATATGTGAAAACTTAGATCAGTAATGATAAACTTTTCTATATTGTAAAGATAAAAATTTTAACTGTATAAAAATAAATAAATAACGAAATTTCGCTTTTAATATTTTAAAATTTCGTTATTATTAATTAAAAGTTATAAATATTAATATAAAAGCTTTCGCTTTTAATATTTCAAATAACTAGCTACAATTAAAAAAATTTTTCTCAATTAAAAAACCAAAAAAAAAAAATAAATCGATTACATTTAAAAAAAAACTAATTCATTTAAACAAAAAAGCAAATTAAAGTATTTTTCGAGAACTCAAATTTTTATTTCATGTCACGTTTTCTGTTTAACTTTTTTTTTCCTTATTTATGCAAGGTGATTCAGTCGCGTATTTACAGTTATCGTATGATGTTTTTCATATGTACATAAGAAGAGTATGTTCAAGGCAATTTTATTAAGTTAATTAAAATCAACAAACTTAATTATATTAAGTTTATTAATTATATTAGCTTAATTATATTAAGTTTATCAATATTTGAACCAGATTATGGAGGCAACTGATTCAAATAAACTAATATAAAATTTCTCATAATATAGCAAAAATAAATTTATTGTCAAAATATTCCGCCGACTTATTTTCAAATTTAAAACTCAAATTAGTATGTGTGCTCCACATAAACGCAGAAAGAAAGTTACAATTTATAGACTTTTTTCTGGATGACGTTTGTACTTACAATATATTTAACAATGATACAATTGTTTCGTCGTCACTAGTCTGAAGAACAACCGAAAAGGTATATTTCAGAAAAGTTTTTGCATTTCCACGTTTATAATATTTCGTATAATGCAAAATTACGTGCTGCTGAAGTTGCGCATTCTAAGAATCGGATTCTGCGAGACATTTTCTTTTTTTTAAAGAAAATATAGAGTTTTGCGATTCAAAATAAAAATACTTTATGAACTTTAAACTCTAAATGAGTAAGTATAAATTGGTTTCATATAACAAAAAAATAGTTATACGTTATAAAATCATAAATTACAAAAAAAAAAAAATAACCGCAACAAAAAAATAACAAAATTTTAACGATTTGCTTGTTATTCTGAAAAGAGTAACTGCACATTCAATTATTAAATATTCGGCATTTTGACTTAGGTTATTTTAAATAATTTTGTGAGACTTGGTAGGCTTAATATATTAAGTGGGTTTTTTTTCAATATTTTGTCTCAGTAAATTTTTTATATTTTTTTAACAACTACAAAAAAAAATTTATTCAAAAAAAATAGTTTCACTAAAACGGATTCTGATACATTAATTACATTATTACATTATTATTATTATTTTTATTTCTTAAGGTGTACCTCACTTGTTCCAAAAATCAGGGTTATAAATTAATAAAAACATGATTTTTATAGCAAGTGATGGCACATCAATTTTTATATACTATTAAAATTTTGATTTCTTTCTTCGATTTATCTTCATTTAAAATTTGGTTTTATGTTAATTTCGTTTTTCTTATACAATTCTTTATTTTCTTTCTTTGACCTCATTTTTAATTCTTTAAATTATTTAATTTTCTTTTATTTTATTTGGTGTAATATGGTGTACTTTTACATCTTCTGTATTATTTTTCTAGCTTTCATGCTTTGCTACACACAAGACGACGCGAATGCTGAAGGAGGTATGTAAATTTAACATGAAATATTTTTGGGAAAATTATTTTCTTTTTATTTTAGTTTGTTAGAAAAAATATTTTTCATTTCAAGCAAAAAATTGATTAACTACAAATTTTTATAAAAAACAGATAAACATACTTACTTCCTCTTGAATTCAGTTTGACTTCTAAATAATTTATTTTGATAGATATTCATTTTTACATTTATTTAACAATTACAACTATTGTTTGTTCATTTTTTTTCGTGTTTTTAGTATAAACTGTTTGTTTTTTTGTATATTTAAAATATTACATTTTAAGTGGAATTTGTTTTTTATTTCGTTTTATATACTTACATAATTTTTTGAATCAGACAGTAGAATAAATATTTTTGCAAGTCATTTTACAACAAACACAATTTTTGTTTTTGATTCAGTTTCATATACATACTTATAAATTATTTATTTATGAGTTTATTTTGTTTATTTGTTTTTATAATTTTTACTTCAAATATACAACTCTTTAAGTATATAAAACTTTATTAAAAATGGAAAAAACCCAAAGAACTAATTTTTTAGTAATGCAAAAATTTTCACTCTTAGTTATTTAAAATGTTCATAACGTTGCAATAACTAATATAATCATATTTTTAATACTTTAGATTTAAACATGTATTTTATTATTACACTAAAAAATATTGTATTATAAATAAAAAACTCATCGTCGTTTTTTTATAAGTTTTTTAAAAAATGAAATTGCAAATTCCTTATTTTTTTAAATACCCATTAAGATTTAAAGAGAATTCAATTGCTTTTTTAGTAGGAATTTATTTTTAATTAATCAAAAATTAGTGGCATTACTAATAAGTATTTTATTTTTAATTTAGGAAAGAAAATGATATATATATATATCAAACTATAAATTAAAAATTAAATTATAATTTGATATGTAATTTTCTAAGCACATTTACGTTGTATACATTTACATAATTTCATAAAATAAATTCATGCCGAATTAGAAATACCAAACAAAATTCATAAAAAAAATGATTCAAATACTAACTTTCATTTTAAGAGAGAGTTGGGTTTACGCAACTAAACCTTAAGTGTGGATTCAGTAAATTTTAATAAAATTGTTCGAAATTTGTTGTATTTTATTCAAACACAAAACTTAAACGTTAATACACCATAGCTGAATTCAGATGTTTTCTGTAAATTCAAAATCCCTTATTTGGACTGAAAATATTTTGCAAAAAATGGGTTTTAAGATTCAACAAGTTTTCGTTGAACCCTATTTCTGAGTTTTGAAGAAATTTTTTTAGTGAGTTTGTTAAGTGTCTCACCATTTTAACGGCATCTACTAAAGGAACGGTAATCGATAATTTTGGTTGTTTGCATCGGAGATGTGATGTATGCTAAATTTGTAAGGTTTTGCTTACATTTCAAATTCCTATAGTTTAGTAATTTATGTATGTAAATCAAAAACTGAAAATCTTACATTTTGTCTGTAATTTTGAAATTCTGGGAACTTATGTACATGAATATTAAAAATAAATTAAATTAGCATGCTTCGAGGTCTGATCTTGTAATTACTTTACTCATGTTTTACAACTCTTTTATTCCATTCTATATATATCTTATATATCCATAAATAAACATATTTTATAAGTGAATTATTTGAAAATTTCATGAATTCTGTAAAGACGCATATTCATAAGGCAATAAATTGTTATAAAAATTATGAACATAAATTTTTTTCTTAAATGGAATTCCGAAATCAGCCATCGACAACCTTATCTGTATATAATATTAAAAATAATAGTTTTTTGCTTTATTATATTTGCACAAGTTTTTCAGTGTTGTAAAACTGAAATTTAAAATGTATTTTTTAAATATGCTATTGGTACTTCCTTCTTCATACCTGAATTCCCTTTAAATTGTTTTTCGTCTTTAATGATTACTACAATTTGTGTCAACTTTCAAAACTGTCGATGTCAAAATTTTCTCGTAATTAAGAAAATAGTTAGACTTTTATTTTCAAAAACTTATAGTAAGTAAAAAGCTGTCAATGTTCTTAATTTTATAAACATACTTATTTATAATACTATTCCTAACTTATAGATAAAACTTTTACCAATTTATTTTTATCTGTCCATCACACATTGATTTTAACACATTTAACTTAAAAAATTTTTAGTGTATGCTATGTTCGTAAGAAATGTATAAAATATGCATTTTCCGCATTTTTTTAAACACAACACGTTATACTGGCAAAACTATGAAAGATAGGGAAAAATACTATATATGTAGGTTAACTTAGATCTTATTGTTGCGTAACAAAAACAAAAAAATAAAACAAATTTTCGACAAATTTCGACCCTTTTAAAAAGCATTAAAAAAAATTTTTTTTTACTTTGACGAGCTTTATCTCGAAAATTATGGCTCCAATCAAATTGATTGTTTAATGAAGTAAAAAGCAATTAATTACCTGTAAAACTAGCACTGAATGGTTACTCTATGTCGCAACGTTCCGAAGTTATAAGCATTTTTTTATATACAGGAAAAATGAATGTTAACAGGCTCGAAAACGAGTATGTCTGCACGCCCCACAAATTTTCACAAGGGGTTGATTTTATATGTATGACCATTTAAGGTACTAAATAACGGAATTTATTGAAATTTATTATTTGAGCTTTATTTGCCTACGAAATTTATTTGCAAGCTTTTCAGGAAAATGAGAACAAGGAAAGCGAACTAATTTTACATATTTTGAAAAATATTAACTAAAAGGTTACTTAAAATGTGAAACCTAATGAAATACTTTTAATATATTAATAAGAATGTTATAGAAATTTATAATATTTAGAAAAGACACGTGTTTAGTTAAATGTGATAACCTCATGAAATTTTTATGTATGATATAATATTTTTGGTAGTAATTTAAAATTTGAAAAATTCTTCTACAGATGTAATATAAATTAACAAATATATATTTTATAATATATAAAAATATATATATAATATATATATATATATATATATATATATATACTATACATATATATAATATATATGTAGTATATATATATATAATATATATAATATATATATAATATATATACATATACATATATATATATATATATATATATATTTATTCATTAATAATAAAATTCATTAGTACTTCAGCATCTAATGCAAAACATTGATTTTTTTATGTACATTAGTAGAAAATAGTGACCGTTTTCCATAGCATTAATTTCATCCATGAATTTCAATAGAAAAATATTTTTTGGTATGTCCTTGTTTAACATAAAAATGTTTATTTCATTAATATTATAATTTTTTAAGTTAGCGATTGTTTCATATATGAATATATATACGTGATATATGTATTTGTTTTTAAGTTTCGTTTAAAATTTAAATTAAATTTAAATGTATGTTTTTATATGACACTTCTCCATATAAACATTATATATAAATATTTATATGATATATTTATATATGTAGACGATTTGCGTTTATGTGACGTACATATGTATATGTGTGTGGACATTGAAAGTTTTGGTTAAAATGTAAATTTACTAGTTTTGTAAGCAATTGAACATTGGGAAATAATGTTCCTAATAATTTCAAGATTCAAGTAATTTTTTTTTGCACATCCAATATATGCATTTTTGTTTAATTTTGGAATTTAAAAAATTAAGTTAAAAAATTTACCTAAAATGTTAAAGGGGCAGATTTTGACTTTAAGTTGCCGTATTACCATATTAATTTATGCAAATTCAGTACCATGTTTTCAATATTTTCTGAGATATGGCCAAACTACTATTGAAGTGGTATGGCAGCTACCGCAAGGAGTCAAGAAATTTCAACGGTTTTTATCACACATAAGAGCCCTAATAATACACTTGTTTTCACGAAATTTCTATGTTGTAACTATAATAATTTCTGAGATAATGCCAAATAACTTCTCAAATTGTATGTCAATTAATTTTAATACCACAGCTTTTATGGTTTCTGAGATATAGCCAAATAACTTTTGAAGTTGTACGACAACTGCCAGAAGGAGCCGAGCAATTTTAACGATTTTTATCAAACACGTTAGCCCTACTAATATATTTGCTTGTACGAAATTTCAATACCCCTGCTTTCATAGTTTCTAAGATATAGCCAAATAAATTTGGAACTTGTATTGCTGCTACCCGAACCAGTACATAAATCATTTGTAAAAATTTTTAGTAAAATAAAACATATACTGGAGTCTATGTCTCTGACATTATTTTTTACAAACGGTAATGCAAATTTAGTATACCCTTCGAACATACATTTGTACGAGTATAATGAAGAGAAATTCAAAAACGCTTACCATTTCTTCAGATTTCTTCAATATAAAGTGCCACGGAAAATAACGTTGAATAAGTGCTGAACTTTAAACTTATTTAAAATAGAAGAAAACCCGTAGTCCTTTGAATTTACTTTAATTTTACTATTCAATTTACCTTTTACTATTAGGTACAATAAATTATGATTTATTATTAGTTTACCATAATTTTTCTTCTGTACTTTAGTAAATTGCATTTCTGTAAATTGCATTTTGTAAGTATAATTTAATACAAAAGTAAGAAAATTTTTGCGAACTTAATGTAACGAACTTTGTACGTCCTGGAAGTTATAGGCTGTGGAATGTGGATTGAGTTTAAATGAAATGATCATTCGCGTGTATTATGTAACTTGTCTAAGTGAATGTCTTACAGTTTTGCTTTACTGGGTTTTTTAAAATTCTACGTATTTTACTTGGTTATAAATTGGATGAAGAATAAATAAAAGTACATATACGAGTATAATACTGAATCTTTTAGTGTTGTTCTGTCCTATAATTTTTCCTAAATTTGAAATTTCAAAATAAATTTCTATCGGATTTAACAAATATATAAACGAATATAATGTGTCAAGAAACATGTAAAACTTTTAATGAAAATTTTTTTTGGTGCTCGTATGAGTTTGGTGGTGCTTTTTGTATATATA